AGTGGTAGAATATAACTTTTGTTTATATTTGATGGAATTTTTCCCCTCAATTTATTTTTCACTTATCTGACTTCTGTTTTTCCATTTCTTAACATATTTTCTTTTAGGTTTCATCTATTTTGTTAATTTTTATTTTGACGTAATTTCAGACTTACAGAAAAGTTGAAAGAATAGTACAAAGAATCCTCTTATACTCTTAACATGAATTCTCCATATGTTAACATGTTTGCTTTATCTCTTGCTTATACATTTATATATTTACTAACATCCATTTACTTTTTATTTTTTTCTGAGCTGTTTGGAGTTAGTTACAGAATAATGTCCTTCTATTCCTAAATGTTTTGTTCTGTGTTTCCTAAGTACAAGTTGTCAAAGTCAGGAAATTGAATGTATAAATAAACTTTGGTATATACATACGGTGATACTACCTGACAATGAAAAGAAAAGAATTTCTGATATATGCAACAACACGAATGATTCTCAAATGTATTACGTTAGGTGAAAAAAGACAGACTTAAAAAATTACATACTATATGATTCACTTTATGACATTTTAGAAAAGACAATTACCGAGACAAAAAATAAATCAAGAATCACTGGGGAAAGCAGTTGACTATAAAGGCTAATTTAGGGTGTGATGGAACTGCATTACATCATGATTTTGGTGGTGGTTACATAGTTGTATGCTTTTGTCAGAATTAAACTATACACCAAAAAAGAATGAATTTTTTCCATGTGTAAATTTTAAAAGTGGGGAAACAACTAGGAAATTAACATCGGTACAATGTTATTAGTTCATCTGTAGACCTTATTCAAAATTTTCTAGTTTTTCCAATAATGTCCTTTATACAAATATTATATCATAATACCCACTGAATTGTTGTTACCCATCAAAAATAGATAAAGTAGAGAGTCAGGAGGAAAAAAATTATGGATATGGGCTAGATAGTTATTACTCATCCTGTTTCTCTTAGATTCAGATCACTATTTTTCCCTATTCAGTATAGGAGAGTTTACCATCATTTTTCTTTTCAGTACTCCCATCCCATAACCTCAGATAACAAGTTGCATTGTTATGTCTCTTTAGTTTTCTTTAACCTGAAACAGTTCCTTAGTCTTTGTATTTCATGATCTTGACATTTTTTTGTTAAGTACAGGCTAGTAATTTTGTAAGATGTCCCTTATTTTGGGTTAGTCTGTTGTTTTCTCACAATCACATTGAGGTTGTGTGTTTTTGGCAAGGTTACCTTGAAAGTAATAATGTGTTCTCAGTACATCATATCAAAAGGTGCATAATGTTAAGGTGGTGTCTATCGGATCTCTCCACTGTGAAGCTACTGTTTTTTTCTTTTGTAATTATTACACGTCTTTTGGAGAAATATTTTTGAAATTATGTAACCATCCTGTTATTTGTCATCTGCTAATTTGTGAGATGAGTTTTACTTGCATCAATTAGTTACCCTTAAATAGAATTTATTGGATGTAATCTAGCTTGATGACCCAGGACAATTGTGAACATTGCTTATTGGGATGTATCATAGATACAGACACAAGGAATAACTGCTACTGGCTGATGTTGGAGGGCATGCAGGCTTTGAGAACCACTGAGGTGACTACGTAGGTATATATGCTATATCATCTTTCTCCTCCACTCTCAAGACCGTAGAGCTATTCCATTGTCTCTTATTCACTGGCTTTCTGGCTCTCCTCTTCACTGTTAGGAGGGACCTTACTCCTTGCTCCTTATATCATGACTGTTTAATGTCCCTACTTATATTTTTATGCAACAACAAGAGTTGAATTTTTTGGAATTGCTTTGGTTTCTCATGGTGGATGGTCCAGAGTAAAAAATGTTGCGTTAATCTTTCTAAAAAAAGAACTAGTTCTAACAATGTTTTTCTTGCTTAAGAGTTACTTTTTTGTTTTAAAACAACACAATATATACTGTATCTATCCTTTGTCCTGATGGGGTGGAGAAGGGAAAGGAGCTTCTTTATAGCTAGCTCTATGTTCTGCTTTCAGGTAGTAATTGTCCTTTAGCTCCTTTCATCTTTTAATACCTTAGACATTCTTGTAATATCCACTCAGTAGTTTACCGTCTAAATCAGATAAAATAGAGGGCAGGAGGAAGAAAATTGTGGATATGGTCTAGATAGCTACTACTTATCCTGTTAGGTTCAGATCACTATTTTTTACTGTGTTATTTAGTATAGAGAATTTTGTTTCATCCCAAGCACCTATAGAGTAAAAATGTGATTTATAATGTCTTCAATGTAATAAGCTTCCACCAAAAAGTAATTACACTTCCAAGTTTATTATGATTTTTTAACAAAAGTTAATTAATTTTGAAATATAGGACCTTACATTGAATTAAACAGGTTTAGATGATCTGTAATGGTATTTCATTTAAAGAAAGGTGTAGAACTCCATGGTCTGGGAAATAGTTACGTGCAAATTATAAGTTTAAAATTGAGTACTGGCTTAAGTAAGTTTTTATTATATAAGACATTTAATTTTGGCATTTAAAACATTGATCTGTACTTTTTTTTAAAAGAAAAGTTAAGTATAAATTGATTTTATAGGTTCAATGTTGACTTTTCCCTTCCTTTGATTCTCTTATAATGGTATATTTATCACTAGTTACCTTATTTGGAATGCTTTGTAGTCATTAACTCAACTATGTCTGTCCCTCATTTTTGGTAGATAGTTTGCATTCCTTTTTTTCCAAAATGGGGAGAAAAAGCAGAACTCTGAAGCTATTGAACCTCTCTCTCTTACTTAATATAGCATTTTTTTCTTCTTATCTTGATTTTAAGGTCCTTTAAGTTTAAAGTGATTGTCATAAATGTAAAATATCAATTTAAACCTTCTAAGAGTTTCTGCTCAAAAGGAACACCTTAAGATACTGGCCTGTCAAGGTGACACAAGGCACACAGGTGTCAGCCACAGAGGGTCTTTTGACACTATGTACATGCTATTTATCCTTTAATATCTCTTAAGATATAGTATTTGATGTAAAGCAAAACATGTGTAACTAATACTTAAGTTTAAAACACAGTTATGATCTATTAATGGTTTCATACTTGTATGAAAATTTTCAGATAAACTCATGTTGGGTATAATTTCTGGATCTAAAAATAAAGTAACTCCTCAGTTATAATGTGATGAATATATGTAATGTAATGATTAAATCAACTGCAAATTCTAAAATAGTAACATTACAAATGTAGTTGTGGAAACTAGAGCCCAAATAATATGTATTTGGATTTTCTGTATTTTGCCTTCAGATATTGATTTACATGGGATTACCAGATTTTTTCAATTATTTTTAATGTGATAAAATACACATAACATAAAATTTATCATCTTAACTATTTTAAAGTATACAGTTCGGTGTTATTAAATACATTCATAATATTGTGCAACTATCACCTTCATCCATCTCCATAACTCTTTTCATCTTGTAAAACTGAAACTCTTACCCATAAAGCAATAACTTCCTATTTCTCCTTTCTCCCAGCCTCTGGCAACTACCATTCTACTTTCTATCTCTCTGTTTTGACTACTCTAAGTGTCTTATATAAATAGTGGAATCATACAGTATTTCTTTTTGTGACTGGCTTATTTCACCTAGCATAATGTCCTCAAGGTTCATCCATGTAGTAGTGTGTGTCAGAATTTCCTTTTTCAGGCCAGATATTACTCCGTTGTATGTATATACCACATTTTGCTTATCCATTCATCCATCACCATATACTTGGACTGTTTCCATATTTTAGCTATTATGGATAATGCTGCTATGAACACGATGTATAAATATCTCTTTGAGATTCTACTTTCAGTTCTTTTGGGTATATACCCAGAAGTGGAATTTTTGGATCATTTAATTCTATTTTTAATTTTCTGAGGAACCACCATCCTGTTTCACATAGCAGATGTACCATTTTATATTCCTACCAATAGTGCACAAGAATTCAATTTCTCAGCATCCTCATCAATACCTGTTATCTTGTTTTCTTTGTTTTTGATAGTAGCCTTCCTAATGAATGTGTGGTAGTATCTCCTTGTAGTTTTGCTATTCATTTCTGAAATGATTAGTGATATTGAACATCCTTTTATGTGCTTATTGGCCATTTGTATATCTTGGACAAATGTCTATTCAAGTCCTTTGCCCACTTTTGAATTGAGTTTTTTGTTATTGAGTTTTTACAACATCTCTCTTTATTCTGGATGTTAATCCTTTATCAGATATATGATTTGCAAATGTTTTTTTCCCATTTTATGGGTTGCCTTTTTACTTTGTTGATATTTAGAACTCAACTCCCTTTCAGTTGCGTTGTTATTTCCCTCTCTTTAAGTATTTAAAAATCCCATTGATATTTTAGGGTCTTCTAGCTGCTGTTCGACATGATAGTGGCAAGAATGGACTCTATTGAGACCAAAAACACTGATTAAACTTTATTGCTTTGAGCTAAGTAAGTACTATGCTATTTTTAATAAAGAAAAGAAAAATCTGAGAAGAGAATGAGGAGAAATAACTTTTTATTTTTGAAGGCTCTAGACTTTGAGAACTTGGACCAACCAAACATTTACTATGGTTTCAAAACTAATTATTTTAGTAAAACTAAAAGAGAAGGCAATAATCATGGTTTAAGTCATTATCAGTGCAGTATAGACTGGAGCTTTCTTGTATCCAATGCCAGCCTGCATTTTGAAAGAACAATAAACTAGACTTATAATGAATATGATCTGCTGGGCAGTGCTTAAATATAGATGAAATACTTCTTCACCTAGATCCCTACATACATTTATTTATATACATGGGCATATGTTTTCCTTTATGTAAGTGTATGTCTGTATGTATATAAATCTTCAAATAAATAAATGCATAAATATACATGGTATTCTAGCTTACAGAATTAGAAGTGTAATTCAGTTTACTCCCACAGAATAAAATTGAAGATAATGAGAATTGAATTAAAGCTTACTTTCTTTCACAGAATTCCTCAGAGAGAGAAGACTGTAATAATGGCGAACCCCCTAGGAAGATAATACCAGAGAAGAATTCACTTAGACAGGTATGAAATTCAGTCTTACTTAAAATAAAAACCTACCAACAACAAAAGACAGGAACCCTCAATTTGCCATTCGTTAAGCACTGGAGTTCAAATTAAGAGTACCCTAAGTTGGTCTGGCTATAACCATCAATTTCAATCAGTTAACATTGTTTTCCCAATCATTTAAAAATTATCCTAGGTGTACAAGTACAGACAGTCAATTGCTTATGTGTAGTGTAAACAAAACCAAAGAATAAGGTTCTTGTCAGGAAAAATAACTTGAAATGCTTCTTAGGTGCAGACAGTAGAATAGTTGACTTTAAACCTTGCTTTTCTGTTAAGATTCTTCATACATTAAAAAAAATAATAATAATCAAAAGGGATCTACCTGTAGGGAAGTTAGCCCTTTTTAGTCTGAGCAATGTATTTGTTTGTTTTTTCTAGAAGTAAGGCCATTATTGATGACAACTTTAAAATAACTTTTACTCACCATGGTACCCCCACTTCCCAAAAGTAACACATTTTTCTTTGAAAGTTCAAATCTATGTTGCTCTATTTTTAAAAATAAAACGTTCAAAAAATTTGGTCAAAAAATTGGCTCTTCTCACTGCCTGTAGCAACCTCTAAATAGTCTTCCATCTCCCACTGGCAACAAAAACAAGTTCTCACAGGGTTGCCAGAGAATAGGTATTTATTTTAAATATAAAATTAGATAAGATGAGCACCAGCAGTAGTAAAAACAATTTTGATTTACTTGCATTTATGGCATTATTTTAGGAAAAAGGAGATTGAATGTTTGTTGACTGCCCACTATGAACCTGATATTTATTTCACTTAACCCTCACAAAAACCCTATAAAGTTGCTAGATATGCTTTCCAGTTTATGGATGAAGAAAATGGAGGCTGAAAGAGGTTCGATGACTTGTTTATTTAGCTAGTCAATAATTTGAAACGCAGATCTCAGAGTTGCCAAAGCATTTCTACTTCTGCTTTCTGACTCTACTTTGTAGACAGTGTTAATGTAGGGGGAAAGTACATGAAATTGTGACACAGTCATTTTTTATTTACTATATGTTAAAAATTTTTTGGATGGGCATTTTTCCTTTTTTTTACAAAAATAATTGTTTAGTAAGTAGAATTGAATCAGTTACTTTAACTAGGAAGCTTTGTTAAATAGCCAAATATGATCAGGGATTGATCTTATGCAGTTACAGCTTTATTTGGTGATAAACACCTGATCTATAAATCTAAATATATAGGACAATATTGAATAAGATAAATTTGGAGATGGAAACACTCTGCCCACTATACAGAAACAACTGTCAGAAAACAATGACATGACAAAAAGTTTTGGCAACTTTATTTAAGCTAACAAACGAATTTTCACTCTACAAAGTTATAAATTAATTTTAATAGGCTGATCCAGATGGTCCATTTGGAAAATGGATAGGCTGATCTGTTGAAAATTAAACTAAATTTATCTCTCTCATACTTCAAACTGAAGCAAGAGAGAGAATCGTGCCTATTAAGTCCAGCACATACAGATGGACCAGCAGGTCACACATGGGACTAATCTGATTCATTTTAAAAATAAATGCATACATTATTGAATCATTTTCTACTTGCAAGATCTGTTGTGTGCAGTATTTGAAAGAGATTTAATGTTGTTTTTTTCATTGCTTTTTAGCAGGTTTGCTTCATCCCCCTCTGCTTTAACCATTGATTTTGGTTTATTTTTATTTGTCCTAGTGCTCCAAAATGATTTTTCTAATCACTGTCATTCAGTGTTGAGATCCAAGCCCTGGAGATTAATTAGGTCATGAGGCTTTCCCCCTCCTTTCTTTGTAAAGGGTTTTATCTCCATTCTCTTTGTGAAGAGCATGAACTCAATGTTTTTGGAAAGAGAAATGGCCTTTAGAAACTGGAAAGTAGGAGATCCTCCTGGGGCCCTCAGAGTCTTTTAGCTTCTGGGTGTTTTAACAGCCCCATGAATGCAGATTTGTAAATTTATTGCAGTGCCATCTGGTTTTTTGCTCGAACCAGATTACTGTTGGCTTGTGTCTATCTATTGTGGTGGTCACTCCCTAGGAGCTTGCCCTCTCAATCTTAGGGATGAGTGATGAATAGCAGGGGTCAATAGAAGCGGGTCACAGGGCAGCTGTCCAGGACTGCCCTGAACTTGATTACCCCACCACCAATTTTTTAAGTGTAGGATGTAATATATAAGCTGTTTAAACTCCTTCTTTTCTCTAATGCATATGACAATAATGAAATGCCATTTGCTCCCCCCCCACTTCCCTCTTAGTCAAGTTATGCAGATAGAAGTCAAAGCTGCCTTTTGCCTAGTGTTGATGTAAGTAGGATTTGCATCATGTACGCTAATCCCTTGACTTGAGATTCTTTTGCAATTTTGCAGACTATTTCCTTTTTTTTTTAAATTGAAGTACAGTCAGTTTACAATGTTGTGTCAATTTCTGGTGTACAGCATGTTTCAGTCATACATATATATACATATATTCATTTTCACATTATTTTTCATTTTAGGTTGAATATAGTTCCCTGTGCTATACAGAAGAAACTTGTTTTTATATATTTTATATGTAGTAGTCAGTATCTGCAAATCTCAAACTCCCAATTTATCCCTTCCCCCTCAGTAACCATAAGTTTATTTTCGGTCTATGAGTCTGTTCCTGTTTTTTTGCAGACTATTTCTAATGGGGTTTTAGGAACTCTTTCAGCATTGATTTTAAAATGCTAAGTTCTAATAAGTTTAGTATTGTTTTAAACTAATTTTAGAGTTTACATGTAATATTCTAAAGTACAGTTTTACCATTATCGGCAGGCTATGACCACTGCATGTTAACTTGGAGTTATTTAACTGGAGGAGCTGAAAGAAAGATTGTCACTACAGTCCTTACAGACATTAAAAGGGTAAAAAGAGAATATTATAACTTTAAACCAAAAATTTGGCAACTTAGATGAAATGGACAAATTCCTTGAAAAACACAACTTACTGAAACCAAAACAAGGTGAAACAAAATTTGAATAGCCCTATGTCTGTTAAAAAAATTGAATTGTTAAAAAGCCCAAATGGATTCCTGGTGAATTCTACCAAACATTTAAGGAATAAACAACACCAAAATAGAAAACAGAGAAGGAAAAAACACTCCCTGACTTGAATTACGAGTTTACCTTAATCATAATTCCAAAATTTGACAAAGACATTAGAAGGAAAAGAATATATGGAAGGAGAAAGTCAGGAGACGTTACTCCCCATATCACCAAGTCATTTTGTATACCTGCTTTTCCATTTCATTTCCAATTTCAGAAGACAGGAGAGTGTGGGGAGGTAGTGGGGGACATTCAGTGTATTCTTTGAATTTTCTAAGTTTCTGAATAATCTTCTGACCAGCTGATACCAAGAGTAAACTTTTTTTGAAGGATGTACAGAGTAGCTACAATTTTCTTTTTAGTTTTATTCCTAAAATGCGAAGCCAAGGAAACCATAACTGTTTTCATAGCTTTAATTCATATCTGCAAACAAGGGCAAAGGCCTGGGAGGATACATGAAAGTACTCATTACTTTTTGGAAACGTAGCCTTACAACATGCAACTCCTTCTTTGCTTCACATTGGTGCTAATAGGATCTGTCAGCCTTGCCTTTCTCTGTAATTGAGTAAATTGTGACCTCAGTCTAATCCTTCCCCATCCCCCATTCCCTTTGTGTATGTGTCCACTTACCATCCTGAGAACGTGGGCAGTGATAAATAAAGCATTGAGTAGAACTCTCTCAACTCTTTGAAAGCAGCATGATGCCAGCCCTCTAGTTATATTTCTTTAAGTGTTTACGTTTTTCTGTATTCTTTCTCTTGTGTAGCTGGAACCCTGGGGATGCAAAGCCATGAGAGAGGCCAAGAAGCTAACAAAGTAGCTGTCTCCCTTGTTAGCTTGTTCTTTTATTCTTTAAAAACAAGATAAAAACCATCTGGCTCAGGGCATTACATTTTCCTCCCCCATGCACCTCTATAGATGGAGACTTCACCTGCAGTGAGGGTTTACATTGATTAGGGAGGGAGCAGTAATTCAAGCTTCCATACTCTTCAAGGATACTTTGCAGTCTTTAAAGGTGCTGACCCACTGAGTTAAACTGTCAAGGGAGGATAAAAAAGTATCTTCATCCCAGGAGGTAACAGCTGCCAGGTTTTCAACACCTTGCACGCTGCTGGAAAAATGTCACAATTGTCAGCTGAAAGAAAAATGACTCCATTGTCATCTTCTGTTAATGACTGGGCCTTATAAAAGGAACTACATACATAAGCCTTTTAGGAGTAAGTAGCTGTTTTCCTTTCCTACCACCTCCCCCCACCCACGCCCAAATTCCTGTGTTCTAAACATTACCTTGGAGTAGATGCACAAAAAACAGCAGTGAAGAACTTAAAATTAAAACAACCCAATATAAACATGGAGGTCTGATTGGCATAGCTCCTTTGTACAGCTGGATGAGTAGGAGGAAAAAGGACATCACTGACACAGAAAATGACATTATCATGTATATTAACAAAACAGCAACAACAAGTCATTCATAAGTCAGTGAACTGAGAGAAAACATACTGTATTTCTGCTCTTTGGAGGACAATTTGTTTTCAAGCAGCATCCAGATGGGTAAATACCACGACATTTATTTTTTCAAGAGAGCCAGTTCTTTTCTTCCTTAAAAAAAGCAAAAACCAAAAAAACCCTCACTGAATTTACTTCCTTTAATAGCTCTGTAATATTTGTATATGATAGCATTACCTTCTTTCTGATTTGATTAATGAGGGAAAAGGGTTTAATGAAGTCCCTGATATCAGGCAGGAAGGTTTTTTCCCCTATTTGTTTTAGGTTAGTCATTTTAATTGTATTGAGTAATTAGAAGGTACACACAGCCAAGGGAGCTTTGTTCTGATAATTGCTCAAGAAAACCCGTTCCCTATCTGCGGTTGCTTTGTGTTAAGACATTCCTCCCCCTAGTGGCAATACTA